TCTTATTAAAACCCGTTTTTGTTATGTTTCTATGCCATTTTACCGCATAAAACTGTGATTATTATTTTTTCCAAGAATGGACTTTTCCAGCGAGATTGCCTTTTTTTGTTGTAAATCATTTTTGAATTTTTGATATGTAAACTCCTATATGGCAGTCAATACATAACTGTTTTGTGCTCATGTCATCCACATTTGGTGTTTCTACATTCATTCATTTCCAAATAAAGCGTAAAAAACCGTTTGTTCCTTAACTTTTGGAGGCCAGTGTATTTCAACAGATAATAGCTTGTTAATCTTAAAATTATAAAAACTTGAGTTATATCCCTTTTACATTACCTAAAGAAAATTATATACAAGTACATTATGAATTACCATTACATCAAGAAACAATTTATTTTTTGAACACAACATTAACCCTACATAAACAGTTAAAATACATTTATTATTTATTTTTCATTATTATAATTCCGAAAAAGCAGTTTCCCAAGAGTTAATTCACCAGAACGCAGTCTTTAGAATCTCCAGCAAACAGAGTCACGATTTAAAACCATCGGAGCAGGTAAGTTATGACAAAATTCGGATACAGAAATAGATTTTTCTTCCCACATAAATTTAAAATAACTTCAATGAAAAGGATTCATTCTTCATAGGAGAATAGAATTCCATCAAATTCTTCAATAAATCACTGAAGTGTGTCTAGGATGTGTAATGGAGCGAAGACTAAAGGACTTGGCTCATTTCTTTTATTCACTAGAAAGTAACACGAATTTCTTAGATCAGTAAAAAAAAAAAGAATTTTACTTATAAAAAGAAACTTTTTAACATTATATAGTATAATTTTAAAAGGAATCGATAAAAGGCAAAAAATTTGTGTTACCAATAATAAGCAGTTTATTAGGTGTTTGAAATGTAACTTAATACTCTCAAAAATAAACAAAAATAAATGAAAAGTAATTGTTTTCTTCAATGGCCGACATATTTTGATCAGAGAAAAAATATAGTTTTTCAAAAATAATTATTTTTTCTTTTTTTCTTTCTTTCTCTGGAATATTATATATATAACCTATATTTTTTTCAAAATTAAAACAAATAAATTATTTGAAAATTAATCATAAAACTTTAAAATAAAAAAGTAATGAATAATTATAATATTTTCCTCCTACATTATATTTACGCATTCTTTTAAAGCCTCCATAACTCTATATAAAATAACTATAACCATAAATTCCGTACGTATTATAGTATTTATTGCGAGGTTTAAACAATTATTATTATTTAAAAAAATAGCAATGCATTTAATAGGAATTTTCCTATTCCTATTCAGTAGATTTTCAGAAAAATTTTATTGTTCTCAAGGTATATCCGACTACTTCCGATAACTTTTTTAAAAAAAAATAGAGATATAGGGATTTTTTGTTGTTTTTAGATTTGTTAAATACATTTGAAATGCTAAAATTAAGAATAGAAAAAGAAATTATTATTACTAAAATTGGTAAAAATTGTCAAAAAATAACTTAAATGTGGCTCATTCTGCACTAAAAGTTTATGAACAAATTTTCAATTCTGATGTGTTGCTATGTTATTCATTTTTTAATGAATTTCAGGATAAGAGACATTTTAATTTTTACAAAAAACTAGAGCACTTTATATTTGTTATTACATGAAATTGCTTACAAAAACTGTAAATTTTGTAATAAAACAGTGATTGATAAATCTGAAGGTTAAAACCAACTATTATACAGAGCATACACAACACATTTCAGTTAATTATTTTGACAATTATTTGAGCAATTGTCCCCGTTTGGCCATTTTCAAAAATACACATTTCAAGTAAAACGCATTTTAAAGTATGACATCTTGCTTAAAATAAAGGCATCTGCTTTTACTAAAATACATGTAATTTTCTTCTAGTGAATAAAAAAAAATTAACTTGGCATTTCTATATAGCTACTGAGATGACCTACAGAATAAAATCATAAAAAAATTCGTCAGTTTTTGGCAAAATTCCCGATTTTAGGGTAGTCGAATATCTTCAGAACATAAATAGGTTTAAAGAGTCATAGTAATAAAATTTAAAAAAACATATACCACCCTTTGTTTTGAAAAAAATATTATTTTTATAAAATGCTAGCAAAATATTCACTGTTAAGAAAAACAGCATAAATAAAAATACATTGAACATTGTATAATTTTAATTTCTTTGATATTCTTGATCCATCTGAAGTGTCGCATACCTCAGCGTAAAAATATTTTAAAATAGAAATATTTTATACTTCAAATTTGATGTTAATGGTTTTTGGTCAAAATTATTTTATACTCTAAGCTAAAAATGACTGAAGAATGTGATTAAATGTAACTATCTTAAAACCAGTGCTTTGTTATACACTCTAAAAGATTCATAACATAAGTGTTACGAATTTCATTGGATTTTATTGGATTGTTTTGGAGATATACCATTTTTTGCCTGCAAAAATTATCAGAACAGTGTCATTCTTCAAAACTTAAAATTAAGTAATAAAGTAAATAAGGGGGGGGGGAAAAATTTCCACTTATATATTCCTTTTCTTCCTCAATACTTATATTACTTTTGTTTTTAATGGCACCAGTATCTAACACCTAAAAAAGAGCTTTTCAACCTAGTCGTTCAACCTTAAACGTTTTTTATGTTCCATGATGGAAATAACAAATTTTATTTTAAGCAAAATGTAAACTAGATGGCGATACGTCAATGCTTTTTATCAGTCTTGTTTCAAAATAGTTTCACTGCAAAACTAACCACATGGTTTATGGAATTTAAATCTGCTACGGTGCATTGTAAGTATCGGATTACGTACAATCGAAGTCAACCTCTAGACTCCACAAATGGGCTAAATTCACGAAGGTCGCATGATAAATGAAATCACGTGATTTCCATTGCGTTCGAAATTGGCATTAAGTTTCCAGTTGTTCAACCTATAAAGTTTAGATAAAATTCCAAGTTTGATAATTTTGTAAAAATGTTCAAGTATCAAGATTCTTTAAACATTTTTATCAAAATTAAAAGGAAATTCTTATATTACCCTGGTGTGAGAAAGATAAGCAGCAAGTGCTTTTACGCCGCAAATCCACGAGAAATCCCTCTGAGAGACATGAAATTCAGAAAGGAGAAATAGCGTTTTGTAATGAAAATGAAAAAAACAATGAAAAAAGCATAGTTGCACAAAAATGAATGCAATGCATATAGTATGGAGTCAAACAAAAAAAAAGACTTTATTGAACTTATAGTATAGTTACATATGATTGTCTGTTCAAGAGGAAAAACAATAAGCAGATGTTCCTTAACATGTCATATGCCCTTCTCTTACTTCAATGGTTGTTTAGCACCGTCTCTCCATTCTCAGCACTAGATTGTTAGACAATTCGTGACGTAGGAGTGTCCATTCTTCAATCAGAATGTGTTTCAGTTGTTGGGTGCTCCCCGGAAGATGTATTCGTGCCTCAAGGCGTTTCCCCAAAGCATCTTACATATGTTCTATTGAATTTAAATCAAGAGAGAAATCTGGGCAATCCATTTCAATGATATCTTCCCTTTCCAGTTGCTGCTGAACATCAGCAGTCTTGCATTTTCATCCATAAAAACGAATTCTGGTCCAATTACACCTCTGGGAAGACTCACACCGGGAAGAATAACCTCCTTACTCCGGTAACAGAACCTCTGTCGAAAACGTAGAGCTCAGCCAGCTTGTGTGTTCAGAATAATGCCTTCCCAGATTACAGCTCCAGGATCGCCACAACCATCTTTTTATATGATGTTATTGGGTTGAAACCGTGTCCCGACCTCTCTCCAAATCAACTAGCGTTAAGAATCACTTGTGGCACTGAAACGACTCATATTCCAAAAAAGGACACAACTCCGTTGATCATGGACGTCTTAAGACTTCTTGAGGTCCTGGGACCCTACTCAAAAATAGTCCATGCGCCCCTTCACAAATGTAGCCCCCATCTATGACCTTTAAAAGTAGACAGTACACAGCATACATTGTCAAGTTCTCGTACAAACAATAACCCAAAACAAACAAATGTGCATGATTTACAATCGCACATACCGGCTCGACCGACTGCCACCTCTTAACTGAATGAGTAATGATGGGGTATGGTGGAAGGCCTAGGTCAATACATGGACGACGGTCATCACATGTAGCTAGTTGACTTATCGTCCGAAGTTCCCAGTTGTTCGGAGGATACAACCAGAAACAACATTTGACCTTTGAAATTATTCGCATCATGATGGTATTAAGGCTGAGTCAAGAACCAGACGAGACCCTGGACCCCTACCCGGACCCAGTTGGCCCATTCCATAAGGACGTCCCTGCCGTTGATGAGATGTGTAATTTTTGTGCTCCGAACACCACTCCAAACAGTGCCGCCAATTATTTACTTTCAAAGTGATGCAGCGTTCAGGACGGTTGGTGAATAGACCATCTTTGTGCAAACATCTGGATTTAATGCTATTAAGATACTATTGTGGATTTTAATGCTATATTAAGTTTATAAAAATTAATATAATTGTAGACTTTTACTTGGAAAAGCTTTAGTTTAATGTTATTTTCTTAAGAACCTGTATAACGCATATTCTCATGGTAATATTAAGAGCTGTACTTTTGTTCAAATATTGAACTTTTTGCCATCTTTTGAAAATGTTCCTAAAAAAGTATGGTTTGTTGCAGATAATTCGGAATATAACTTATTATTTTTTCAATTCCTACTATTAGTTCACTTTCTCTCTCACTCTCTCTTTATCTTGTTATATCTCAGATATCTTGTTAAAATTTTCAATTGTTAATATAATATTTTCTATTCATCCATCAATTTTAAATACATTTGTTTAAACTTGTCGCGGATGACACTTGATGTTATTACAGTTTTTTTTCCAAATATTAATTCATTAACTAACTTAAAGAATAAATAAATAGTAACAAACAAAGAATAATAGTCCAACAGCATATATACAAAGATTTCGTGTTCCCGTAGTGCATTGGATACCATGTTGGACTTCTAATCCGAAGGTCGTGTGTTCGAATCCCATCGGGGATTGCATAAATTCTGAGAATGTGATTTATTTTTACTATACCCTTTTATTATAATGATTAAATATGAATAAATAGTAACAAACAAAAATAGTACAATACCATATATAAAAAGGGAAATGGAAAATTGCAAGGAAAATCGTTCTATTTTGTCTCTTAATATTGTGATTCTGTCACATGTATATACATACGAGTATTTATACATCAATTGTAATAATTTGATAAAAATTTATTAAAATAACACTTTCCTTTGTTAACCTAAGTAGGAATTTTGACTTAATTTTTTTTATTACTTGTTAAGCTTATGATCTGCATAAAAATCGACTCATTTAGCGTTCTGACATAATATTAATTTGGAAAACATATCCCTTACTGCGTAACAAGAAGTTTTATATAGTTTAAAACACTTGATAAAGAAGTGAAAAAAATCTAAAATTAATAATCGACGAACAAAAATTTATGAAATAACTGTTCAATACAATATGAAAACTCTTTATTTCTTATCTTGCGAAATAAATCAATGTAGGGAGCTGATTTGATTTTAAAATACATATTGGTATATTTCCATCAACCAGAAAGATTCTATAAAAATAAAACTATTTCCATTATTCGTTTTTCTTTTCTTTTTGTTTTATCAAACTTGATTGATAAACCGAACAAGCTTTCTTGGGTTTAGAAATAACAGTTTAATTTTAAAAAATTGTACAAGTAGGAAAAAGAATTCTCGCAAGCAATTTAGACAATACAATTTCACCCTTGAAGAGAAAAATAAATAAATAAAAATTAAACTCGTGGCATCAGTATTTTCAATAAAGGTGGAAAATTTTCCGTTTTTTATAGTTTTTTTTTATATTACGGAACTCTGATCGCCAACCTAACAATACTTTTCTTCAAATGAAGAAAAGAACACAAAAAATGATAAAAACACACAGACGTTTCTTTCAATTACCTTCGCTGAAAAAAAATTATTTAAAAAAGCAAAAATTTCTTAGGAATATAACTTTAAATTACTGAACTTTTAAACCTAAAAAATTCACTTCCAAACAAATTGTCACTAAAGTTTCCGTTAAAATATAAAATACATAAAAACTAATTCGAAGTTTAATCTATACAGTAGAGCGTCGTTTATCCGAATCAGTTGGGATCGGTCACCATTCGGATACGCGATTGTTCGGATAACCGAAAACCGAATGCGATCCATGCAATATGTGATACTGAACACCATACAAATATTGAAAATCACCCTATGCGGGAAACGTGCTTGAAGTAAAAGCAAAATAGTTGTAAAATGTCGCAATTTTACCTCGATTGTGGAAAGTTATCAATTATTTTTCGCTGTACCATTGTACACCTTCGTTTTTTCACTGCAAGGTCTCTGATTCTCTTGAGCAGCAGTAGTTGAGTAACACAGCACTCTGATTGTTGTTCGTACCACTCCATAGCTGCCTCTAACACAGAAAACGCGTCAAAATTTGATGAACCTTTTCTACATTCGTTGTTGTTGTTCTCGTCTTCATCCGTTTCATCGTCGACAGGGTCGGATTCTTCTTGCCCAGAAGTCACAATCTCGTCCTCATTTAGCATTTAAAATCCACAGTCTTCTGGATTATATGCCATCCAGGTTTCTACATTAACAAAACTCAACAAAAGAGCATGTATACACCCCTCACTTGGAAACGAACTGGCCTAATATTCTGTGCAGATGTTTACCAAATCACACTAATTCCCCAAATTAAAATTCCCCAAATATCCTCCACCTTGGGTTTTCCCGTCACTTCAGGCCTCACACGAAACAAATGTTGAGCATTACACTGTTCAAAAACGTATCCGTACTTTGGTTCGGATATTTGACGCTCCCGATAATAAACGTTCGGAAAAACGACGTTCTAATGTACTTAGAAAATGAGTTCTTGCTGCTCAACCACTTGATTTAAGCCTTTATTTAAAATTACCACTTAAATCTTGGCCCCTTAAGCTTTGATTTAAAGTTATGGGATTCGTTCTCCACTGCAACACCCTTTTTAACATAGGCGCGCGTGTACGTTGTATCGGGAGAGAAAAGAAAAGACTCTGGATAAGTAAATCCTACGCAAACATTGTTAATTAGTATACAACATTCCAAAGCCTTTTGAACAGTTTTACTGGGAAAAGCGCAAAGAGAACGATTGTATTTCAGAAAAACGTATAAAACGCCAGAGGAAATTAACGCACCCCCTGAGTGAACCATATATATATGCAAGTGGAAGTTAAGGGTTAAAAAAACCCGAAAAAAGTATAAAATAATTGAATATAACTCTGCTGAAATTGACCTTTTCTGAATTAAAAATTTTGTTTCGCCCATATTAATCTTTTTTATTAACGTTCAATCACATGCTGACATATTTTTTATCATAAAATATGTAGTGCTTACAGATGCAATATCTTCTCTAATATTAATTAATATTTTTAACGTGATACGAATATAATGATATCAAGAATAACGGGAATCGCTTAAAGTGATAATAATACTAATGATATAACGCAATTTTTCCCCTTTTCCCTCTACTTTGTATGTTTCCTTGAAAGTTCTTGCAGTGCAATGTAAAATCCCGATTACCAAGGTTTTGTATGTTTTTATGGTGATCTCCGAGAGTTGGCAATAGTTATATGATTATTGAAGAAAATAACAATGGATTTCATAAGAGGTCTTTCTACTTTTATTCAACGTCTTTTTCTTTAGTATACTAATGGAAAATCTTTTATGTGAGGTACATTACCTGTTAAAGTGCTTACAATGTTTATTTCCATCATTACAATATTCATTTGATTCACTTTATGTAACAATTATAGATTCGGAAGGAAATATGATAAAATGAGTTCGTACAATATTATCATCAAAATATCTTGAAATTGGTCATCAGCAACTTAGAGAAAACGCTTATGGTGTACTTACACGTTATTTCTTACGAAATACCTCCCTGTATTTGTATACTTGTTCCATAGTTCAATTAATCATTAAAAACTTGCCGACAGTAATGAAAATGCTTGCTAAATGGATTACTTAATACCAACATCACAAGAAATATCCACTCCAGCCAGCACGTGCCTGATAGCAGGCAACCGATTAGAAAACTTTTTGACATTATCTCGTATATCAAAATAAGTAGGTTTTCATTTGCTTAAAACTTTAAAAAGGTGATTTTTGAAATGTACATCTAAATGAATTTATGCTAATGTGTTTGCTGTTAGAAAACTAAGTAACTATATTCTAAGTGTTTTTTTTTTTTATTTTTGGTTTCTTTACATGGGGCGAAAAACGAAATTTGAATAGTGTTTATTTTATTTAGTTTTATGGTTTGTCATTAACGACGGACCAGCTAGGCATTGTTTTTTTATTTTGAACAAGGAATATCTATAAGCTATTTACAAGCGCAGCAAAATTTTAGCTATTTTAAGATTGTGAGCTTCAAAGAGTATTAAATTTGCTCACGTCAGAGTATTACAGAGAAAAACTCTCGTCTGCCGGTACTGCGTGGCAGAAAAGAACATCCGCATTGGCACGCATGCGCCAACTAATAGTTTTTTTAGCTAACGAATAAAAAATGTTTAATTTCTAATAATGAATATTTTTTGTGTAGTTGCTTATCAAAAAAATTCCAAAAGATAAGTGCAAGAGCTTTATATTCGTTTGGACGCAGATATAACAAATAACCCCAAATTAACAAACGAAATGTTCTGTTGTAAATTAGAAACCGTTTGGTCTGAGTAGGTGGAGCTTAGTTGACACCCCGCTCAGAACCCACGTGGTCTATATATATCGATAGAAACCATATGTAACCGATTCTGTCTCAGTTGGAATGTTGAACTTGGCTTCAGCATAACTAGATGTACTGATGTTTTCTCATATTTTCTTGGCTTCGGCGTACTAGATTGCCGTTGTTTACTAGCATTTTTTTATTATTTGAATACTAGAATTCTCTTTAGTTTCAGTCTAATTAATGTAATGGTTTAATTTGTTAAAGATTGTTAAGTTTATTGTTGAAAGTTATTGTTACCAATAAATCCAGGAAAGACATTCTAGGACTCCAGAATATTATTACTACTATTATTTGATAACACCACACACACGCAACCGGTACTCATCAGTTCTGTTCCAATTAATTCGTCAAATAGATGACCGACTGTGCGTATACACAGGGTGCCGATAATTAAACTGCAAGTGTTCAAGGGGTGCTGGAGAGAAAACTACCGGGAATATTCCAGTGAAATTTGGTATCTACACGTTTCAGAACATGCGCAAGTAAAAAAAATCGCCATTTTCACCCGATAGATGGTGCTGTGCCATGTTTCTATGCTTATCGATGCTTTCTATGCTTTCTATGATTGCATATATGCAAGTTTTAAGCCCACCTAACAGTATAAAAACAAGACCACATTGAAAAAATGGTCAGTCATGACCCACGTTCCCTGGACCTTAATCCTTGCGATTTTTACCTGTGAGGACATCTGATAGAAATAGTTTATACTGAACGAAATACTTTTGTTGCGGAATTGAAATCTAGCATTACGAGACACTTGATGTGTGTTACAACAGATAATTTAAATGCGATGGTGAACCATGCTGTTTTACCTTTTCAGCATGTGGTAGCATCTGGTGGTTTGCATATTGAGCATATAATGTGATAATTTCATTAAATAAATAATGGTTTAAATGTTTTCCAAAGCGTCTTTATGGATTGTTTAATTTGTGATCTTAATTTACGTTAATTTTTGATAACATGATACTGTAAAAATTTAATTACTGAAGCTAATTGTTTGGAATTTTGATAAACTGTAATTGATGTTTTATATCTTTTATATGCCTCTTAGAATGTCATTATGCTCTGTCTATCAGTTTTGGAAGTTGTACATGCCAGCGGTGAGCGTTGAAATACGGTACAGCGCCATCTATCGGGTGAAAATGTCGATTTTTTTCTTTACATATTTGACTTGCGCATGTTCGGAAACGTGTAGATACAAAATTTCACT